GGTGCCGTACACCGAATGTAATGATCCATTGCTGTGGCACAAGCAAGTTCAAAACTTAGTGATGAGGCGCCATTCTCGGCAGTAATCACCCCAAAATCCTCATAATGCATACGATATTGTATCAATTAAACTATATAGTGACGACAAAATGGAATTAATCCATATCAGAGCCACATTCTTAGAAAAGTACAACAATCAGATACGAATAATAAGAAAAAAGAAGGACTAAGCCAAATATAAAAAAAAACCGCGTCATTCTTCTTAAATTTCTAGCTTTGCCTTTAAAGTATGTTCTAACCAATAGTAAGCATTTCACTCCACCTTCCGTCGGGCCCTCTTTACCAGACGCATGGTATAGAAGTAGTAGAAGCCAAGCCCCATAACAATACACAAAAAACACAGGAACAGTAAACCAAAGACCTGAGCAGCCGCCACATCTACTTCCTTCATAAACAAAAACGGTCGAATTTTTTGCCTTTTATTGGTTGGAACATTTTCAAAGACAAAAGAAGGCAATGCACGATACAGGGCCAGCCAGCATAAAAGCGAAGGCCGTGACAAAGACATCATGAAATAATGTTAGCCTATTTCAACAAATACAAAAAAAAAGCGTAAAAGAAAAAACCGCACTGACCATGTGAAGGAATGATCAACCTCAGTACGAAAAGTAGTCCATAACCAACGGGTCTCGCAAAGCAATAAAAAAAAAAGCCTTCCATTTCACGCCTAAAAAGTTTTTCATTGCACACGCAATGGCAACCACATGAACAAGCCCCTGATTCAAAACGAAAAACAGCCCCTAAACCCCACAACCCGAGAAGAACCCCAACGAAAAACAGGGGACAGCGCCACTCTCACGAAGCAAGAAAAAAAGTCGACGGCTCAAAAAGCCCTCGTTGGAAGACAATGTGTTCTCTCGCTGTTGTTCTTTCGTTCTCTTTCCCCCGTGTCTTCTCAGACAAATACGACGGCCCGCCCGCCAGCCAGCATCGTGAAGCACGTACGCCCTACTACGCGGACCTGCGCGGCAACAGCGCAGCCCCGCGAGGGAAACACTGCTGGCTCCCGGCTTCCCCGGGAATGCGGGGAAAAAGGCCCCGACACCACGCCACGGCGGTCTCCCGTTGGGCTCTTCGCTTTGTACTGGAGGCCTCCGAATGGTGTGTCGCCCGGTCCGCCCACACGACCCTGGGCGGCGCGGAGGTGACTGGCGGTGTCGCCCCTGCCCGACAGGCCCGGCAATCGACCGTGATACGCGCAACGCCGGCGCCCACGTGTGTTTTTCGCCGCGGCCTCCGGGTCAGGCGCGCCGCTCCTGCGGGAACGTCGCTGGCGTTGCGGGGCGCGCCCCGATATGCGTTGGTGGCGCGGGAAGGCGCTCTTTTCCGCCAACGGAGAGAAGACCCTCGTGACGAGTGAGCGCGGCCACGCCAATCTCGGGCGGGATGAAACCGACACGGCGGCCGCGCTCGAGTTGGCTGGTCTCTTCCTCATCGCTTGGACCGCCCGCGGGCACGCCCAGGCCGGCGCGAAAAAACCGTCATGACAGGCCAGCCGAGAGACGACACGACCATGCCTTTCGTGGGTCTGAACGACACGATTGACAGGGACGGCAAATCGCTTCCAACGTCCCGTGTGCAAGGAACCGCCTTGCGCCGCCCGCGAGGATCGCTCGTGAAAGATTCGGCGTCGTTGAGAGTCTCATGGCCACAGCGCGTGCCACCATGGCGTCGCTCAAAGAATGGCGCGGCGGTCGCGACGCGACGTGGAAAATCGTTCCGTCCGCCACCGGAGCAGCCAAGGCGGTCGAGAAAGGCATTCCCGCGCCGAACGGCAGGCTGGCCGGCATGGCGTTCCGTGTGCCGACTCCAAACGTGTCGGTTGTCGACCTCACCGCGCGCCTGGAGAAGCCGGCGGCATACGAGCAGCTCCGCGCCGCCACCAATGCAGCCGCCGAGGGGAAGCCGAATGGCCTTCTTGGCCGCACGGAGGCCGAGGTTGTTTCCACCGACATGAACGGCGTCGCGCCGATGTCCGTCTTTGCCGTCAAGGCCGGCATTTACCTCAACGATCGCTTCGCGAAGCTCGCCTCATGGTGCGACGACGGGACCGGGTACTCCCACAAGGTGCTGGCCCTCGTTGCTCACACCTCAGCACACTGAAGCGGCCGGAGGGAAAATTTCGAAAGGAAACAACAACGGGCTTGGCGGGGGCGTCGGGAAAGGAATGTAAATAAGAAGGGAAAATTTGTATCTGCGAGCAATGAGAATTATTTAAGTGCAAAACGAAGGTTCAAAAACAAGGATCATACTTTGGCCGCTGACCTGCCACAACGGGGTGGATGAAGAGGGCGACGGGCGCGTACTGCGTGTGCGCTTGAAGCTGTTAGAGGCCTCTATTTTTGTTATTTTATTTGGCTTGGGTCTCTTTGATGTGTCCTTTGTTGCTCGTTTGTGGCCGTAAACTGAGTCACGTGATTGTGGTTGAGCGGGCGTTGTGCGCATGTGAAATGGGCGGTCTTTTCGCACCGCGGCAGCACGTGATGAGGAGCTTCTTATGTCTGTAACTCGGGAAATCTGAGTGTGTCACTGAAGAGCCAACGGAGGAATCGTTAGATGGTGACGCTGATGCCGCCCAGCCCAACAACCTCCACGAGACCGTGCCCGCCATCCCCTTTAATAGCGAGCGGACCCTCCGTGCGTCACCGCGAGCCGCTCGCCCACACCGGGGGAGAAAGGAGTGAGGCGGGAGAGGAGGACAGCGAGGATGTCGGCAGCCGCCGCGCACACAACTAGTGCCTGTTCCGCTCCGTACGTGACGTTTCCGTGCCTTTTCGTTTCACATTGCGATATCTGTTTGTTGTGTTGTTATGCTTTTTTTTGGTCGCGCCCACTGCCTGCTTCCGTGCGGTGTTCCTCCGTGGCATTTGGGTGTTGTGCAAAGGTTAGGTTTAGAGAAGCATCAGTGCAACCCGTAATTGTGGAGAGCAAAGAAAACAGTAAAAGCATCGATAAAACACAGAATAAACTTTTTTTTTTTTTTTGTTATACGACATTGTCACTATTCATTGATCGCCCGAGGGCTGTCCGTCGAAAAGTGGCCAACTTTCCCGTCTCGAATAACGCTGTCATGCGACATAGATTTTCTCCGAAGATTCGAATGCTCAGTGGTCGACGACGAGGGCATTCCCACAACATGTGCGATAGAGTTTCCCGTGGACCGTCGGGCGGCTCAGCGGGTGGTAGGGGCTTGCGGTAGAGTAGTGCCTGAAGGGTTATGATTGTCGTTGGTGCTTGCAGAGTTGCGTTATTCGTGTTTGACTTGTTGATACGCTTGGCATTTTCTATAGTGACCGGCGCGCGAGGCACCTGTTAAGAAGACGGTGGCGCCATTGTGGCATCCGCATGGGAGGCCCTCGCAAACTATTATAACGCCAGGCTGAGCACGTCCGGCATGTGCCCTCATACTGTGGACGGTCAAGCGCACTCTGCCGCAGGTTGGGCAGGAGGACGTCAATCCGCCGCTCGCTGGTCGACAAGGAGTTGCGGTGCTCACGTCGGGAAGAGGTTCCGGCGGAGGCAGAGGCGGGCCGGTCACCGCGGTGAGGGAGGGACGGCACCACCGACACAGAGGGTTCCTTGTGATCCGCAGGGCGCGTGCAGGCCTGTCGAAGAGTGGGCAGGAGTCGCATCGCGCCTGTGCGCAGTGCCGCCACTCGGGGACCGATGTCCGGGTCAACACCAGGAATAGAGTCCTCGCCACACCGACAGGCGCCTGTCACGCGGTGCGCGCCCTCCTTTTCCTCCTGGGCATCCTTCCATTATAACCGCTTCACTGCAGTGAGGAAGTCCATGTGCCAGGCATTGACGCAGTCCTGCGAGAGGAATCGTGCAATCGTGGCTTGTTTGTCAGCGGCCTCACTGCGTGGAATACCGCAGTGTGATGGGAAAATGTGAAGCCAGCTGGGTGAACTCAATCCGCCAGTGAATGCGGCACGGTACAAATCGCCTCGCTGACGTCGTCGTGCAGCGCCGGCGGTCCAAGGCGAAGCGCCTCCATCGCCGAGAGGGAGTCCGTGGCGAAAGGGACTCGCGTGGGCGATTGGGTTGCTGCTGCCAGGCGGGGAACTGGGAAGTGTCCGAGGCCATGCTCAGTGACAGGACACTCCGCTCGGCAGGTGCGTGCAAGGCTGCCAGCAGCTGCGCGGTGAGGTTCCACGGGGGGCTCGGGTGTCCGGGGAGTAAGGTGGCAGCGCAGCGGATCCAGACGCACGCACAGCGAGAGAAGACAAGCCGTCCAACGCCAACACAGTTGCCAGCGAATAACAACACGTTGACCATGAATAGGACACGTATGTTCGCACTGCCGTGGGCATGGACAGCGGCCCCGATTCACTCAGCAACAGTGATCTAATGCCCTTGGATGGTACAACAGCCACGCCTGAGCCCATCACAGTCCTAGCAAATGTTGAACGAGTGGTAACGTGTTGGGTGGCGGTGATGCCGCACCGACTTTTTCGACAACAACGTCCGAGAAACTAAGATCCCATCGGAGTTCAACGCAACAATACCCTTGGACCATGTCATTTTGCTTGAGCACGGGCAGTTCGTTGATTTGTTGGCCATGGCTTTAATTGGCAACATCACCGTGCATGTGTGTGTCTCGGGTGATGTTGCTTTTGATTCTGGGGCTGTGGGGCACTGCGGCGCTCTGCTGAAGTGTGAGGGAGGGGGGAACTGCGGTTTTTCGTGGAAGAATAACTGTGCAGCTTGCCAGCATCACTCAATGAGTTGTGTCAATAATTTAAGTTTTTTTTCTTTTGCTTATTTATTTTTGCTGCTTTTGCCCTATTGGAATAATCGGTATCCATGTGTTTTTTCCCAATGCTCGTTTGCTGTACGTTGTCATGAGTGACGTGTTTCTCCTCTTTGTTTTTGCTCTGCATTGACGGGGACTTAGTTTGTGCTGAAGGCTGCACGCAAGTGACAGGAGTGGTGGTGATGATGACTGGCCGTGTTCTGCTGGTGTGTGCCCTCTGCGTGCTGTGGTGCCTCACTGGTTTTGGAGATGCAAGGGACAACCGCTGCATTGAGGGTGATGGGAACGTCTTGACGCACACACATAATGGAGGAAATAACGGGCTGCGCCTGAAGGCGGATTTTGGGTTGATTTCCACCCAAATAGGATTAATAAAGGCGGTTGAAGCTGGGGAAAGAGAAGAAGAATCAGAAAGTGATAATGATTCATTGGTAAAAAAGGATAAAACAGCGCCTGGTAGTGAGCCCGCTGTTACTGGGGACAATGAAAGGCGTGGTACAGGAGTTGTGCAGGGTGTTGCAGGTGCTGGAACACCATCCCTGCCGGCGTCTGGGCCTGGAGTGTCACGGACAGGTGCAGAAACCAGGCAGTTACCTGTGGCTGTTCAAGAAGGGAATGAAAAAAATAACTTGGATCCTAAGAAAAAAGAGTCAAAGGAGTCCCAGGATCAAAACACCGATCAATTGCCCTCTCCATCTGGCAGCTCTTCCACTCGTTCTGATGAAAAGCTTTCTTCAAAGGTTACTTCCAAGATCACTCCATTGCCCAAGGACACGGAGACGGAATCAGGTGCCGATCGTCAGGATAAAACTGGAAGTGAGGAAGCGATAGAGGAAGAGGATGGGGACGAAGACAAGGAACAAAAACAAGAAAAAAACACATTACAACCCGAGAAACAAGAGGGTCAAAATAATGGAGGAGGAGCACCACCAGTACCTGCACCACCAACAGGTGAAGAAAGCCCAACAGCAGAAAAGGAAAGCTCACAGAACATAACCAAAGTAAAGAAGGAAAATACACCGTCAAGATCCAAAACGGACTCAGAAACAACGCAACCACCTCCAGGGGATGCTACACAAGGGCAGCACAGTCATGACACGGACACAAAGGATTCGACGAAGAATGCTGCAGCCGGCAGTCCAGCAGAAACAACAGCAACCTCATCTACCTCTACAAGTGGCAGCGGTGATCATGTCCAGAATAAGGCAGATGAGGATGATGCTCAAAGCTCTGAAGAACAACACGACAGCCTTGAAACTGGCAACTCCAACGTTGTTCCACCACTCAGTGATACAGCACCAAAAACAGCAAGGACAACCACCGACGCTCAAACACATGGTACGGTGACAAAGGTTGGCGACAGTGACGGCAGCACCGCGGTCTCCCACACCACCTCCCCTCTTTTGCTTCTTCTTACTGTTGCGTGTGCTGCTGCGGTGGTGGCCGCGTGAGAGTGAGGGAGAGAGAGCCGTGCACCGCCCGCACACACACTCTTCCTTCTCCCTCTGTGTGTGTGTCCCCTTGCATGGACTCTCGCCCTCACCTCACCCCACGAAGCACACACATAATGTGCCCATTGTATATATGCATGCACACCCATGCAGGCCCGTTGGTGCTCTCTTTTGTACGACACGCACCGCTGCCGTCCTGCCTGGCTGCATGGGCGGAGCACCGTAACTGTTTCCGTTTTGTTTTTATTGCATTGAGTGGGCGACCTCTCTCTCTCTCTCCCTCTGTATGTGTGTTTTGCTTTACGGGAGCAATGAGAGTGTGTGCGCTGGTCGTCCCACGCTTCGGCTTTTTGTTTTGTTTTTCTTTTTGATTTTGTGGTTGAGTGCACCCATTCCGCGGCTGCGTGTGTGTGTGTGTGTGTGATGATATGAGTAATTTGCGTGTGTGCTATCTGCCTCTCTCTGCCGTTGCTTTCTTCAGACTCTTTTGTGCCGCACAGCTGCTCTGCAAGTATAAGAGGTGACACACACATACACGCACACATACAATCATGCCATGCTGCACACGGTATGGAGCGGCGTGAGCGCTGAGAATGAACGCACGCACACGATTCTGGCTGCTGCGGCCCTTGAGATGGGGGATGAAGGGAGTCTGCAACGCTTGTCTTTCTCGTGCGTTGTTGAGGGTGCCTGAAGTAGGTGCGGAGCGATTTCCGCCCAGCAGCTACAGGTGCCGAAGCGTCTTTCTTGTTGTGTATTTGACGGCGGGGGCTTTTCCGGCTGTGCGGGGTGATGTGTGCCGGCGGCGGAGCGGGTGTGGCGGAGGAGACAACAGTGGAACGACTGGCGGTAGCGCGTGGGCTGCGGAGGGCGGCTGTGCCCTTTTGCCACCCGCTGGTTATTTTATGTTTGGGCGTCGCCTGGTGTGTGCTGACGCGTGGCAGAAGCGCCCGCCGTGGCTCCTGCTGGTGGTGGTAGTCGCTGTGTGTTCCGGTGCGGCGATCTTTCTTCTGCTGTTCCGTGTGTCTGTGTGCGTGAGTTGTTGTTGTTGGGAGTGACTGCGGCGGGGATGATGGTGCTACTCACTGTGGATGGGTGGCGGTGCTTATTCTTTCACCCATATTTTATTACCCTGTTTTCTTCATTTCTTTCACTCTCTTACGAAGAAAGCAAACAAGCGCTAATTGCTACTGTGAAATTGTAAGGCACTGGAAGGACCAACAGCACACACACATCGCCCACACACACATATTTCTATGCTCTCACGTGTTGCTGCTGTGAAGGCACCCCGCACAGACTACCGTCGCCGCGTGACCGGATCCAGCGAAAGGAGGAGGGAAGGAAAGAAGAGTGAGCCGCGGAGGCCCAACATGTCCCGGCGTGTGTTTACTTCCGCGGTGCTCCTCCTCGTGATGATTTTCTGCGGCACCTGTGGAGCTACGCAAGCTGTGGAACCGTCGTCTGATCCGAAGCTTCAATGGAAGGGCATCAGTGTAGGTGATGTAACTGTGAAATCGTTGAGTGCTCCCGGCCTTTTGAAAGTGGGGAATGACGTATTTGCCGTTGCCGAGGCGCAGTGCAAGAAGAATGATGGAGAAGATACCTTTACTGGCGTTGCATCCCAACTTCTCACGGAAACAGCAGATAACGAACCGGAGGAAGTGCTGAATGATGTGAAGGATACACTAGTTCTGGAGGAAGGCATATCCTCAGAGAAGACGAGAGTAGATGTGAGTCGACCGACAGCAGTTGTGGATGGAGATGATATTTACATGCTTGTTGGGAAATACAGTCGTAAAGGTGGTCAGGAGAGTGGTGCAGTTGACTGGGGACTATTGCTGGTGAAAGGGGAAGTCAGTGGTGAAGATGAAAGTAACAAACAAATTGACTGGAAAGATACCAACGCTGTGCCGAAGAAACCTATGGGCGACCAACAAAACTCCTTGAAGCGACTGATTGGCGGCGGCGGATCGGGTCTTAAGATGGAGGACGGTACGCTTGTGTTCCCAGTGGAAGGCACGAAGGAGAAGGATGACAACGGAAAGGATGAAAAAACCGTGTCGCTGATTATATTAAAGGATGCTGAGAGTTGGACGCTGTCGAAGGGGATGTCTGACGATGGCTGCAGTGATCCCTCCGTGGTGGAGTGGAAGGACAAGCTCATGATGATGACTGCGTGTGATGGTGGCCGCCGCAGGGTGTACGTGTCCGGCGACAAGGGGGAGTCGTGGACGGAGGCCCTCGGGACACTCTCGCGCGTGTGGGGCAACAACAAAAAGGAGGGAGAAGGGAAGGCCGTTGGGAGCGGGTTCACCGCAGCGACAATTGGTGTTGGAGATGATGAGAAGAAAAATGTGATGCTCGTTACTCTGCCGGTGTATCCCAAAGAAAACCAAAAGGAAAATAAAAAGGGCGAACTCCATCTTTGGCTGACGGACAATACGCACATTGTTGATATTGGGCCGGTATCCGGGGAAGGTGAGGACGTTGCCGCCAGCGCCCTGTTGCACAAAAGTGTTGAAGGTGAAACTAATGAGGAGAAGAAGGAGTTGATTGCACTGTACGAGAAGAAGAAGGGCGATGCGGAATCATCACTCGGTATGGTCTCTGTGCTTCTGACTGAGCAGCTGCAGCGGGTGAAGGATGTGCTGGCGACCTGGAAGGAGGTGGACGGCCGTGTCTCCGAGCTGTGCCCTTCTGAGGGTGCTGTGAAGGGTCCCTCAACTGACAGTGCCTGCAGCGCTACTGTTAAGATCACGGATGGGCTGGTTGGCTTTTTGTCCGGCAACTTCTCTGATGACACATGGAGGGACGAGTACCTCGGGGTGAACGCCACAGTAAAGAAGGGAACGAAAGAAGGAGTGCCAGCAGGGGTAGCAGAGACTGCAGGGTCTTCTGATGGAGTGACGTTCCGGGGAGCGTGGGCGGAGTGGCCTGTTGGCAGGCAGGGGGAGAATCAGCTGTACCACTTTGCGAACTACAACTTCACTCTTGTGGCGACGGTGTCCATCGACGGTGTGCCGAAGCAGGAGGGCCCGATTCCATTGATGGGTGCGATATTGAAGAATGCAGAGAATCCAGTACTCCTGGGACTGTCGTACAACAACAAAGAAAAGAAGTGGACATTATTGTGTGGCGACGGAAAGAAGACGGAGCACAGCAGCACTTGGGAGACAAAAACGGATACAACACGGTACCAAGTGGCCATTGTGCTACAGAACGAAAAACAGGGTTCCGCGTACGTCGATGGTCAGCGTGTGTTGGAGAATGTGCAATGCCAATTGGAAGGTAAGGAAGATAAAAACATTTCCCACTTCTACATTGGAGGGGATGGAAGCAACTCGTGGAGCCAAGAAGACGTGTCTGTGACTGTGAGGAACGTCCTGCTGTACAACCGCCCGTTGGATGACAGTGAGATTACTGCGCTTAACACAATTAAAGCCCCGATTACGCCTCCGAAGGAAACAAATGCGCAGGAAGTCGTGTTGCCTTCTCCTGGTGGAACACCGCATGCGGGACAGGAACCTTTGAATGGAGGTGAAGGTGCTGACGGTGGAAGTGCATCCCCATCAGCAGTGTCCGCTTCAACGACTTCCTCAGGAAGTGGGCAATCTGTGAACCAACTCGCGCCAGGAAAGCCTCCCGATGGAAATGCAGATGTGGATGTCTCTCCCTCGTCTAGCGGTAACCCAACGGTGGGGGAGGGGAGTGCAGATACGATACAGGGGGATGGACCGCACACACCCTCCGTGGGTAATACCCCCGCCGCCGCAGATACAAACGTTCTTACCGCTAAAGGCGAGGGGCACGATGGACCCGCATTGACACGTGATGTGAGCGTGAGCTCTGGTGCGGATGGGGAGACGGCAGGAGGAACGGATGCGCAGGAGGAGGAGGGAATCCATCCGCAGGACAGGGACGTAAATGCTACGGCCCTCGGCAGTAGTCTGGGAAATTTGTCGCAAGGGAATAACAGCGATGCCGGCACTGTGTGTGGGAGGAGGGTGCCGCCGCTGCTCCTTCTGCTGTTGGGACTGTGGGGGTTTGCGGCTCAGTGAGGCGTGACTGGATGACGCGTGGAACACTTGCGACCTCCCCAGCAGAGAATTGCGTCCAAGAACTAATTCTTTCCCTTCAAATAATTTTTCCTTTTTTTTATTATTTTAAATTTAATTTTCCTGTTTGCTACTTTCTTTTTGTTTTTATTTTATGTGCGTAATTTTAAACTTTTTTTTGCGTTTTTTTCATGTTTTTGTTTTTCCTTTTTGTTTTTTATTTCTCAATTTCTTCATTTCTTTCTTTTTTGCTTTTGGGGCAGTCATTATGGACGTTTTTCTTTTCTACTCTTCCCTCTTTTAATTGTTTCTTGCTGCACTCTTCCTGCGAGGGGTGCCGTGTGTTTCCGCCCAACTGCTCCACTCGCACACCCACCGACACGCTCATGACGACGGCCCTGTGCGCCTCGCCTGCTGCACGCATGAGGAGGGGCCGCGACGAACGGCGCGCTGAGGGAGCCGTGACGTGTGGGCGTGCGACGAGGGCCTGTGGGGCGGCGCACACATTTCTTTCCCTCTTGTTTTGTTTTCTTGCGGCCAGGGCGGGCAGACACCCGCAGCGCCACACACACAGCCACACCCTGCCGCCGTGTTTTTAAGATTTTTTTTTGTGTGTATGTTTGTATGCTGCCACCGTGCGTGATTGTTGATGTCGGGGCCGTACCGCATGTATCGCTGCCATCCAGCTGTGCCTCTTGCTGTGTTGATGTGCCTCCCTGTGCTCCTCCTCTTTCCCGCTCCTCCAGCACACAGACATAAGTAGTTGCACAGTGCTCTGCAAGAATGTATTTGCACTGCCGGGTGTGTGTTGCTCGGTGTGTGCTGGCGCATGACGGACGGTGCCACGATGGCCTCCTCTGACGGTGACAGTCGCTGTGTTTTCGGCACACTTCCACAAGACTCTTCCTTGTATCTCTGTGGGAGTGATTGCAGCAGTAGCGTGATCTGTGGCAGCGGCTGTTGGTACTGCGGAGAACGAGGCGACGAAGAACAAGAGGCCGCACCTGCTGGACGCGATTACGATGGCGGATGAAAGCTGTTTTGTTGCCTTTGCTTCGTACATTGCTAAGAATGCGCCGTGTCGCCGCCTGACGGGATGCCTGCACTCGGAGCCCTTCGAGGCATTGTTTTGTTTCATTCAGGGTGATGCCACAATCATCATGGCAGCACCTTCCCTCAACGGCTTTGAGTGCGACAATACGAATGACGGCAAAGAGAGCGATGAGGATTATGGTGACGACTTGCACCGAGGGGCGGATTATTTGCGTGTCTTGGCACACGAATCCCGGGAGGGTTTGGATGCCGTCCCCACAATTCCCGGCCTTGAGGAACCGTTGGCCTTCGCGCTGTCACCCGCCGTAATTAGTGCCCCCTGCGTTGAGGCTGATCCATTTACCGTGGAGTTCACGCAGCAGCTCTCGAGTGTTTGTGCTGCTGGTCCCGCGTTGGCCCATTCGCATGTATTTCAGCGTTGCCTGGCGGATGATTTGATGTGTGTTGTCCAGGCCGCCGCCTCGAGTTTTCTTTTGCTGCCCAATAATAAACACTTTGCGTTGCGGCGGGTATTTGTTTGCGTGGCCGTCGACGCACGTGGCGATGCTCAACGGGTGTGTCTTTTGTTTGGCGGGCACGAGGGAGACTTCGGTGTGTGCCGACAGCACCGCGAAAGTCTTCGTCGACGGATGGAGGCGAAAATAAGGGGGGTCTGTCTGCTGCATCTCTCAAGGCAGCTGCGGGGCACTCCGGACGCACAGAGTGAATGGATGTATGCCGCGCAGCTGGGGAGACCAGTTTTCTTCTCCGCCCTCCGTTGCCGGGGGAATCGAGAATCCACAGCGCCACTGCCAGCTGCATTTTACTGCTGGGGATCGACTGTGCTGAAGTTGCTCATCTAATGTGAATCGCGGCGTCAGTGCAGGAAGACACTTTCACGCATTACGAGTAGTTGCCCCAGCCTCGAGCTCATCAATATTTACAGCGGGGAGACATGCATCTTGGTGGCCGGTGACGTTCAGGCGAGTGTGTTTCACTTCACCCGCCTCGTATTTGTGGGGACACTGCGCATCGACCCTCCCCAACAGTCCCACCACCTTCGCTTCCCCCGCCGACCGTTGCCATCTGCTGACGGTACAGTTGTTTGGCTCCGCCAATAATGCACTCGTGAAGCGTCCTCTCCGCACGCTGCAGGATTATTGCCGTGGAGGCGTTGATGGCATATGTTGCGGGTGTGGCGTCGACAGATTCATCCACGCATTGTCTTAGAAACATGACTTTGAGTCGTGTCAGTCACGCCGTGTTTCCCTTTTTTCTTGCTGGGAGTCCTGTGGGTGTGTTTGAGCCCCTTTTAGGAGCCTGTGCAGAGAATGATCGCGGGAGAGCCGGCTGCCTTAATGAATGTATATATATATACCCTGACAAAACGAATATACACTTCTTTACGACACTTTTCTGCCGTATGAGTTTTGGGAAGGCCACGACTTTAGGGAGCCGACAGCGGCCGGATAATTCTTTATTTTTACCATCGCACCCACCCCCTTTTGGTTCCCACCACGCGGCGGGGTCTTGTGGCTGCAGGATCCCAAAAGTGTGCCACGTCGTAAGTAATAAATAAATACGTGTATCCTATCCGAATAGAGTGAGCGGGCCACAATTGTGGCTGACGGATGGTGTATAAACATACAGCTACCTGGTGCTGAACTTTGAGGGTGTGGTGAATCCACTCTTATTCCGTTGATCCCTCACTTATTTCTATCGTTTTTGGTTTCTATTATTGATAAACTCAGGATTCGGCCAGCGGCCCGGAAGATTATTCTTTATTGCAGCACTGTAACAAAGGGAAGCAGGAACAAAACAAAAACCGAATTCTTGGCCGCACCAACACAAGAAACATTCACAAGAGGAAAATAATTGTTAACCCTGCGGAAATCCCCAACACACGATCCAGGCATGAAGGTTTGCCGTCTGCAAAAACAAAACAACACATGCAGACATCTGCCAACATCCGAACAGAAACACAAATAAATTTATGCTTCATTCCATTCCTTGCGTTTATTTTTGCGTGTTCAGCTGCTGCTGCGATGGTGGCTGTGCCTGCATGAAGTGGTGTGCGCCGAATATGAGCGAAGACCAAAGACGACTGAAGTGTTGCTTTGTGGTGAATATTGGCTGCACTTCCCGTGGACCAACAACTTGCGTGGTGTGCGGGGATCTCTTTTTTTATTGTTACTTTGCTTTTGCGTTGCTGTGTGCGCTGCACCTTCTTGTGTGTGTGTGCGCACCCTCCGTGAGGGGTGCCGACACGACGGACCGCTCTCGCCGTATGTGCATGCGGTGGAGCCTTGTGTGCCGCTCCTGTTTGCTTCTCCCTCTTCCATCCGTGTGTCGTGCGTGGTGTGCGGCGTACGGTGCATGCCTGGCCGCTGCCCTCTCCTCATGTGGTGTGCCTTCTGTGTGTGTCTGCCGCACCTCTCGTCTCCCCTGTTGCTCTCCATGTCCCTCACTGTGCAGATAAGCTCCACACCACTGAACGACCACACTCACGATTATGATGACGTGCCGTCTGCTGTGCGCCCTGTTGGTGCTTGCCCTGTGCTGCTGCTCGTCCGTGTGCGCTGCAGCGACTGGTGAAGTCAAACTCCCCAGCTTGGGTTCTTTGTCCTCTGAGTCGCAAGTGGAGGACGATCCCGATGAGGAACCGGGTTCAGGTACAGGGTCCAGTGAGGAAGGGAAAACAAAAGTGCCAGTGACCCCAGGTTCTTCCGGTGCCGTAACGCAATCAAATGAGGCGGAAATGCCGGTACGGACAGGAGAAAAGAAAGGTACGACAGAAGATGAAAATGATACAACAGCGCCAAAGTCGCAAAGTAAGGGGTCCACTGTGGAACAGGGAGAGGCTGACGTAGATGGTGGAAAAAGTTTGACAGCTCCGAAACGGCAGTCAGGCGATGCTATCGATACTGTACACGAAGAAGATGGGAGTACGACAGGGCCACAAAGCCGCACGACTAAATCCGCAGACCAAACAGATCGAGAAACCAAAGATGCTGCCGCGACGACCACGACGACCACCACTACAACAGAGGCACCAAGTGCTACGACTACAGAGGCGCCAACTACGACGACCACCCGCGCACCGTCACGTCTTCGCGAAATCGACGGCAGCCTCAGCAGCTCTGCGTGGGTGGGTGCCCCGCTGCTGCTTGCCGCATCCGCGCTGGCGTACACCACTGTGGGCTGAAGAGGTGTGTGCGGGCTGTGCGTGCCAGCACTCAACCGCGGGGATTTGTGCGTGTGTGTTGTGGTTCACTGTATAAATAAGAGGAAATAATGATTGTGTTTTGCTTCACTTGCTTCTGCTGCCGTGCTGTGTGCTCCGCGTTGTGCCCCGCATCCGCCACGTTGAACGCATCGCGGACTCACTAATATGCATGCGCACTGGAGCCCTGGGTTTGTTTTTGTTTTCTTTTTAATTTCTTTTTAATTATTGTTTTTTAATTATTGCTTTTTAATTATTGTTTTTTATTGCTTTTTAAACTTGTGGTTTGCGGTGCGGTGTGCGAGCTCTGCAATCGTACTGACTCCATCTGTCTCGTGGTGTGTGCGCTGCTGCTGCTGGGGTGCTGCCATCTGTTGCTGTGCGTGGTGTGGCGGCTGTGTCTATCTTTTTGCTTTTCACTCTGTTGACGTGGTGTTAGTTTTTGCTGAAGGCTGCAGGCAAGTGACAGGAGTGGTGGCGATGATGACTGGCCGTGTGCTGCTGGTGTGTGTCCTCTGCGTGCTGTGGTGCGGTGTTGTGGTGCCAGCAGTTTGTGGTCTTGTCAGTGACAGAAGTGTTGTGGAGGAGGATATGGTCTTAACTTGGTATCCTGAGGCTGAGAAGGATTGCGAGGAAAAAAATACGAAGGAAGGAAAGTTGGATGTGTTGGGGTTTAAGATGTGTATGCATGAATCGATGAAGGGGATTTGTGACATGGTTTTCCCCACACGGAGAAGCACCGCACCGCACTGAAGTCGCTGCGCACACAACCCAAACGCCACACGGCATCGAAACAGCAGTGCCAGGAGGCGATCTCTGCTGCCGCAGGATCAGCCAGCTTCCACAAGCACGCCAATCGGCCCGCAGGAAACCTTGCACCATCTGCTTCTAGAATGTCCAGGCACCTTGGCTGTGCGTCAACGGCCGGGCATTGAACAGGACCTTCGCCTCGGAAAGTTCTCTCAATGGCAGTTGCTTCATAGCAGGAAGCTTTTGTCGTTGCTCGACTACCTCTTCGGCACTCAGATGGCACTGTATAGCTAGACGCGCTGGTAAGTGTAGGAAAAAAAAAAAACAACTGGAGACCCCCTGGCTCAGCCGGCCACCTCAACGTGGTGCCATGGTCTAGTACTCTTTGCTAGAGAGGAAGCTAAGCGCCTGCTGCCCATCCGCTGCGCGCGGAGATGCAGGAGGCGCCGCACAAACGGGTCGGAAGGGCACCAGATGGAGCCATTTACATGGCTGCCCGCGGAGCGGTATTTCTATCCGCTGCTGAATTCCATCGGCGCTTATCAGCGCTATACATACCGTTTGCGTGCCGTATGTGACGCGCAACGGCAAAAGCTACTGCTAAGCGGAGACATTGAGCAGCACCCAGGCCCCATAGCAGTACTCCAGATGAACGTTTCTTGCCTCACGCCGTCAAAACTCGCAACATTAATGGCGCAAGGAGCAGACATAATAGCCATTCAGGAGACTTGGAAGTCGTCAGAGCAGATCGCCAGCATGCACACTGGAGATTATGTGCTCTATGCACAGTCGCGCATCGGCAAGGGAGGCGGTGTGGCGGTGCTGGTGCGGAAAACTCTCCGCTCCAAGCGTATACCTCTCACCATCCCCCAGCATGACACCAGCCTTGAAGTGGTGGTGGTCCAGGTTGCTCTGGACCAGAACCGTGATCTTATTGTAGCGAGTGCCTATATGAGACCACCACCGCAAGTAACGCAATCCTTCAGGCGGTTAGCAAACTGCCTTCCAGCCTCGTCGCCGCTCCTGCTGTGCGGGGATTTCAACATGCATCACCCACAGTGGGAGCCATTCTTGGAGACTTCTCCAAGCGAGGTTGCTGCAGAATTTTTAGAACTGTGCACGGATGCGGGACTCACCTTGGTTAACACCCCTGGTGAGATCACGTATGCCCGTGGCACAAGAGAACGATCCTGTATCGGTCTGACATGGTCAAAGCATTTGACTGTGCCGGATTGGTCAGCTTCCGTATCGCCGCTTAGTGATCATTATATGCTGACATTTACGCTGCATCAGGCATTTAAGGATACCATACCTTCGGCACCCCCTTCGGCACCTAAGTTTTTCTACAGTTGGGGGAAGTGCAAGTGGGATTTATTCATCAAGGACTTCGACGCACAACTTCCGGTATACGACTATAAAAAGCAGTCCACCGGCATCAAAGCTTTCACGAGAGCGCTTATAACTTCGTATCGACGACATTGCCCCCGCGGCATGCACAAGGACGGTCCCAGGCTTTGGGACGACACTCTCATGGAGGCAGAGCGGATGGCTACCGACAGCAAGGCCCGCTATCTACAGTCACCGACGCCCGACCGTGAGGCCGAAATGCAACGGACAAGGAGTCAATTCTTCCTCCTACTCCGAGAGCGCTTGCGCAACACGTATCTACGCCGCATCAGCAAGTTAAATACAGGCGAGCCACTCGCATGGAAATACATTTCCGGACGAAAAAAGGCATCACTTCCATCTCCCACATCAATTTTATTGGGAGATGGTCAACGCACTTACAAAACAGCAAGGAGAGCAGCGAATGCTCTCAATCGCATCTTTCTTCCACTTCACCCCTCTCACAAGGCAGTTAGGTTTTCCAAAGGCATCAACAGACAGAGTGCATCTTTGAACATTAATGCTTCTTCTATTTTTGGACCACAGAACAGCAACAAGTCTATCTTTACATTTACATCAGGGTTTTGTCACTGCCCTCTTGATGCACCTTTTAATCGTACGGAACTGCTTGCTGCGCTACGTAATACGCCGTATGGCAAGGCCCCCGGACCGGATGAAGTCTACAGTGAGGCACTGCGACATATTTCGTCAAAGGGCCTCCGATTCCTTCTTCGTTGCATTAACCACAGTTGGACGACCGGTACGATCCCGGTTGAGTGGAGACGCGCTACCATCGTCCCACTCTTAAAACCCGGTAAGTCGCCGGAACTGCTTGAGTCATATCGACCCATCAGCCTTACCTCCATTGTGAGTAAGGTTGCTGAGAAAATGGTACTGAAGAGATTGCTTTGGGTGTGGACGCCGCACCCCCACCAGTATGCATATCGTAGTATGCGTACTACGACGATGCAGCTGGCACACCTGATACACGAAGTGGAGCATAATAGAAATCACTATTTCCAAGTGAGCCTTCCCAAGAAGAGCGGTATTGGCAATCAACTCCACTACAGACCCCATCGGACCCTGCTGGTGTTGGTTGATTTCAGCAAGGCTTTTGACTCCATAGATCATCGAGTCCTCAGTCGCTTGCTGGCTAATATTCCGGGGGTGAATTGTAGAAGGTGGCTTAGAAACTTTCTATGTGGTCGCTACGCGAAGACACGAGTTGGCCACAGACACAGCGATCGGCGTCCCATGCAGCGAGGAGTTCCTCAGGGGTCCGTGCTGGGACCATATTTGCTCTCCCTTTACGTACACCCACTTCTCAATCTGCTGAACAGCTTTGCGGGTGTCACAGCAGACATGTATGCGGACGACCTCTCTATTATCGTTAAGGGGCAGTCCCGGGAAGACGCCATTCCCACTGCCAACATGGTTCTTCAAAAGCTGCATGCGTGGAGTCAGGAAAATGGCCTGGCCATCAACCCGTCAAAGTGTGAAGCTGCTTGGTTCACACTCTCCACGCACACGGAGTCAGATTATGATCGTGAAGGAAGGTGGCCCCTGGTAGTGGCTGGATGTCAAATCCTAGTCATGACCATGGGGGCATCGCGAACTACGAAGCTTCTCGGCATGGATCTCGATCCACGACTGACGCTAAATGTGGCGGCCACCAAGCAATGCGCTGCCACTTTGCAACGGATATCGCAGCTACGCTGCATAGCGCACAAAGAGGCGGGACCATCTCCACATGACCTACGCACGTTCGTCATTGGATACGGTGCTTCCAAATTACGCTATGGCAGCGAGCTCATATGGGCAGTAGCGACGGATTCAGCGAAGAACGAGATGCAAAAGACTTACGCAACTCTAGCACGCATTGCCAGCGGAGTTCCGAGCACTGTCGACCCGGAATCCGCACTACTGGAGACTAATATGCCGCCGCTCCACGTCCTTTGCCTGCGCGCGCGGCTCTCAATATTTGAGAACACACGCGCATGTCAGATGGACTGGATGCGGAGACCCCCGCCTGAGCCACCGCCTCGCGCCGGTTTCCGCATCTCGCCATTATCTCGGGACGAGCTATATGCCTTCGTAGACGCATACACAAAGGAATACGGCATCACCGAGAGCTCACCACGCGAAGAGCGGTTCTTTCGCAGCTCCATTCCTCCCTGGTTTGCGGCCTCCGCTCACCGGGTCACCATCGGTGTGGAACTTCCGATAGACCACTCAATAACGGACGAAGAGGAGCTGATAAGGGAAAAGCGCAGGGTCAGCGAAGAGACTCTAGCGCTGCACAGCCATCGTTCGTGGATACTCGCGACGAATGGCGGTGTCGACGTTCCCAAGTCAGCAGGGGTTGGAATACTGCTTTCATCCCTCAACTCATCGGAGATAATAGAAAAGGCCAGCATAAACTGCGGTGCACGCCCATGCAGCTACAGGACGGAATCCCGCGCACTGCTTCTAGCCCTAGAGAAGCTGATGATTCCTCGTATCCGCCACAGGCGTAAAACCCTGCTTGTGGTTACGGACAGTCAGTCTCTTCTAGCGGCTCTAAACAAGGGCCCGCTCAGTCATACAGACTGGACGGAGGATCAGATCTGGCAGCGTCTATTAACACTGATGCGTGCTGGCTGGTCCGTGCAGCTGCAGTTTTGCTACGAACATCGCGGAGTACATGCTAACGAGCCTGCAGATCAGCATGCGACGCAGAACACGGCAACCGGGCAACACACGGAGCATGGAATAGCACCCATACGGCACACGGACCTGCTGTCATGCATTAACACCAAGCTCACCAACAACTGGCGTAGTACCATGCATCAGGACACCCACCACTA